GAATCCTTCAAATATAAATGTGTCAAATATAGAAATTTGTTTACCAAGAAAAATTTTGGTACTAGAATTTGCTACAGGTGTGATGACTCGACTCACCAAATTAGTGAATGCAAGTTTGATAAAACATCATTAAGAGCTGATAACATCAAAGTTAGAAATAAAAAATGGACTCTTAAATCAAATTCTTTAAACTGTCTTCCTAAAGAATGCAATAATATATTATCAAATAACTTTGTGAATGACCCATCTTCCAATGGTTCAGTGTGTTCTAACTAGTTTCTCAGGACTGCAGGGTCAGGAGCATCTTTGGTACTTAGATAGTGGTTGCTCAAGGCATATGACAGGATCCAAGTCTCTCCTGGAAGACTATGTCAAGAAAACTGGTCCTGCAGTAACATACGGAGACAATGGAAAGGGGTTCACTAAAGGATATGGAAATATCAAGTGCGATAACGTGGTATTTCAGAACGTGTCATATGTAAAGGGTCTCAAACACAATCTTATCTCAATCAGCCAATTGTGTGATGCTGATTATGAAGTTCACTTTACAAAGAAGGAAGGAATAGTTGTTAACACTTACAAGAACATCGTACTTTCAGCAAGTAAAAAAGATGATATATATGTTTGACATGTTCTCAGTGACAAGGCGCTGATGCAATGTTTCTTTACAAAGTCTCAAACCAATCTCAGCTGGATTTGGCACAAAAGGTTCTCTCATTTGAACTTTAAGAATCTATCCAAAATATCCAATCAAGATCTAGTTAGAGGTCTCCCAAAACTCAGCTTTGTCAAAGACAAGATGTGCTCAGCGTGTGAACAAGGAAAACAAACCAAGTCATCATTCAAACCCAAGTCATGTTCCAGCATATCAGCTCCTCTTCATTTATTACACATGGACTTGTTTGTACCTATTCCTGTTCGTTCCCAAGGAGGGAACAAGTATACTCTAGTGGTTGTGGATGAGTTTACTCGATTTACATGGGTGGTTTTCTTGAAGAAGAAAAGTCATGTTGCACAGGAAATCATCTCGCTGATTCATAAAAATGAGACACTGACTGGTCTCAAAGTTAAGCAGCTGAGGAGTGATCATGGCACTGAGTTCCGGAATTCAACTCTTGAGGAATTTTGTGATTATACAGGCATTGGGCAGAACTTTTCAGCTCCTCGCACACCTCAGCAAAATGGAGTTGTTGAACGAAGAAATCGAACACTGATTGAGGAAGGAAGAACCTTAATGATTCATGCTGGTCTTCCTATGTCGTTTTGGGCTGAAGATGTTAATACAACATGCTATACTCAAAATCGATCTCTAATTCACAGGATTCACAAGAAAACACCAAGTTCTATCACACGCAACTATCCCTTCTTACCAATCTTACACTGATTCTATGATTCGGTGTGACAAAACACACGCTGATGAGAATCTAACAGTCTTTGCCAATGGTTAGACAAAACACCAAGTTCTATCACATGCAACTATCCCTTCTTACCAATCTTACACTGATTCTGTGATTCGGTGTGACAAAACACACGCTGATGAGAATCTAACAGTCTTTTCCAATAGTTAGACAAAACACCAAGTTCTATCACACGCAACTATCCCTTCTTACCAATCTTACACCGATTCTGTGATTCGGTGTGACAAAACACACGCTGATGAGAATCTAACAGTCTTTGCCGATGGTTAGACCAAAAACACCAAGGTCTATCACACGCAACAATCCTCTCTTTACCTTCTTCTCACTCAGTGTCTAATGATTCAGTAAGAAATACCACTCACTGATAAAGGCTCGACAGTCTGTGCTGATGGTTAGATAATTAAACTAGTATCTATCACACGCACCAATCACCTTGCTAACCCAGCACAAGAAAGTTGTACCTTGAATTGACGACAAACTATCTTTCAGCATGTACCTCTCAGTGATAACAATCTCAGCGCTTTCGCAGTCACTGATTGTAGTTTCCTCTTCGGTACAACGGCTATATTTACCTAACGACTATTTTTTGATTTGACAATCTATCAAGATACGCAGTTATTTTCGATGAAGATAATCATTACCTTTTTTACCGTTGCATTCCTTATTTAAACCTTTTCACCTCTTCTCCAAACCTTTTTACCTTCCTCCAATCTTCTCTCACTCTTAAAACCAAAAAAAAAAAAAAAAAAAAAAAAAAAAAAAAAAAAAAAAAAAAAAAAAAAAAAAAAAAAAAAAAAAAAAAAAAAAAAAAAAAAAAAAAAAAAAAAAAAAAAAAAAAAAAAAAAAAAAAAAAACATAGAATCCTAAACCTCTTCAATGGCGGCATCACTGTTCACCTTCTCCTCCACCTCAAGAAGAGTTTTCCCAGCTCCAAACTCGCCTCCTCTTCCCATATACATCAAAGCCACCAACGTAGTTTTCAACCCTGATATTCCAGAAGTTCATCGAGGTCTTGGACTTGATGATTTTGTTAATTTCTTAGCTTCCTGCCAACTCTGATACGCAATCAGTGACGTTCCATCAGAGTTCTTTCCCGAACAAGTCTGTGAAGTCTACTACACTGCAACAATTAATGATGAAAACAACACCATCTCCGGGACTATTGGCCGTGGAAGACACTCAGTCTTCATTACCGCTGACCTCCTCAGTGCTGCGCTCAGGTTACCAATCTTTGAACCATTCTCAGAGCTTCCATCTATTGAACGTTGTAGACGTCTCTTTGATCAATTGGGATACAATCACTCTAAGGTTGGTACTCGATCAGCTCTCATTCTGCGTCAGTGCATGACTCCAGGATGGAAGTTCTTCACCGATGCTCTGTGTAAGTGTGTGGGTCACAAATCTCGCAGTGGTGATCAACTGAGCACGTATGAACAACAAGTCGTCTGTTCCCTTCTTCTCAAAAAACGCCTTGATTATGGGGCTTTCTTCTTTGATCAGGTTGTCCAACTTCATTGTGCAAATGTACGCGCTGATCATGTCCCCTTTCCACGCTGGATTGCTCTTGTGCTAGATAAGTTTTTCGCTGAAGCTTACTATTCACATTCTGGGAACCCCATCCAATGCCCTCGCATGTCAGTGCAAATGTATCAGGATGATCCATTAGACACCGATATCGGCATCTCTGATTGGATGAGAGAATGGATCGCAAATCCATATACTGTTCCTTCACTCACCGCTGATACTGATGAAGGAGCTGATGATAACAACGAAGATCATGCTGATCAAGAAGCTGAATCACAGAATGGTGGCCATCTCTCCCCTCAACTCTCTCATCATACTCTCTCTGACATTGAGAGAGGTCACTCAGCTCAAGGGGAGCCATTATTTCAGGGGGAGCAACCATTCCAGGGGGAGCCACCATCTTAGGGGGAGCAATCATCCCAAGGGAAGCACCCTTCTCCGGGGGAGCAACGAGCATGATGATGAGTGATAGATGTTGGACATGAACTTCATTAATCCCACTATTCCAGCTCAAGGAGAAGCCTCGGAGGATAATGAAGATGAACATGATGATGAATGTCAAATGCTATATATGAAATTCATTGATCCTATTATGCCAGTCCAAGGAGAAGATTCAGATGTAGCTAGTGAGGATACTCAACCTCTATCTCGCAAGCGCAAGGCAGAAGATACTGAATTGGCTTCTTCACACACTGATACTTCTCTGCCTAGCAAGAAACCTAAGTCCATCGTTAGCATATCCAACTTGGCAGCTGAATGGAATATGTCTCCTGATCAAGTTAAGCAAATTCTTGATGAAGCCAATCAAGCTCAGCTTCTAAAGAATATTGCTCAAGCTGATGAATCTCTCATTCAGCATCAACTTCAGGCCAAAGGATCCTTTGAAGCTCAGTTGCAGAAGTTCTTGGAATATCAGTCCAAATCCAAATCTTCCCAGCCTCCTCCCAGCAGCAGCAAGTCAAGGACTGAAAATGTTCTAGACAGGATTGATCGAAAGAGGTTTCAAGATGTTCTTAAACGACGAGTGAGCAGTGATAAGATCATCAGAGTTAAAGCTTCTAAACCTCGTAATGAGAAAATTCTTACATTTCTGATCACTCGTCAAGGTCCTCAACATCCATACACTGAAGTTGTCAAGAGGGATGAGCTGATCAGATACGGATATTCTGAATGGATGGAATTGCTCGAATTAGCATCCAAGCAAACTTCAGCTCTTTCTTCAGAACTGACATGTGCTCTCCATCTACTGATCAAGAAAGTTCAGCGTCTGGATCTTGTTCCCGTGAAACACTCTCAGCAGCAAGGCCAAAGTTCCTCAGTTCCTAGAATCAGAAGGACCAGGTTTCAAGTTGATAGTGAAGATGTGTTGGTTCTAAATTTTGGTGCTGAGGGAATAAATAACTCTCTTCCTATTGGTTTTGAGCCGGTTCAACATAAGTTCATCTCTGTTCCTGAACATGGAATGTTTTACCTCGATAAAAACAGAAGAATGTGCTTTCAGTGCACCACAAAAATTCCAAGAGCTCCAACAACACATCTTGTTGGCCTAAGACAAATGTGCATGAGTCATCAAGATCTATCTAGAGAGTTTCACATACTGATTGCTATGGAGCTGCTGAATAGAAGATAGGAGCTGCTGGATAGTCCTTACTGGCCTGTAAAAATAGAAGCTGAAGCTGAGTATGAAGAATTTTTGTCCAGAGGTGTTCTTGAATAGTTGTTGTTTTGAACATCATCATATTGGGGGAGATTGTAAGGTCAAACCTTATAATATGATGATGTTTGAAACTAATTCATCAGCATCAGCGTCAGCATACAAGATGTTCTGTATATATAGTCTTACGTAACAGATTTAGTATTTATCTTGTATTAGTTAGCTGCAACATCCCTGATTTGTAGGGATTGTCTATAATAGTTCTATATAATCTTTTGTACGGGTTTGTGAAGGGGTTGTCTTTCACAAACCCTAATAGCCGCTTTGTGCAAACAATAATCTCTTTGTGAGATTATCATTCTTAGTGAAAGCTCTTTGTGATATTTCGTTGTTCTGTTCTTATTATTAGTCGTTGTTTGATAAATCGATTGATCTAAGGTCCTTTCAAGCATCTTGGTTCTCCAAGATCGATTTGAGGTCTGGATACCATCAGGTGAGGGTGCGAGATGAGGACGTCCAGAAGACAGCGTTTAGGATGCGTTATGGGAATTATGAGTTTGTGGTGATGCCTTTCGGACTTACCAATGCTCCGGCAATGTTCATGGATCTCATGAACCGGGTGTGCAGGCCGATGTTGGATCGGTCGGTGATCGTATTTATTGGTGACATTTTGGTATATTTGAGATCTAGGGAGCAGCATGAGGAGCATTTGAGGGAGATCCTCGGAGTTTTGAGATCGGAGAGGCTTTATGCCAAATTCTCCAAGTGTGATTTCTGGTTGCGGGAGGTCCAGTTCCTAGGTCATCTTGTTAACCAGGATGGGATATTGGTTGATCTGGCCAAAATGGAGGCAGTGATGAGTTGGGAGGTGCCGAGGTCACCCTCCAAGATCATGAGTTTTCTAGGGTTGGCCGGTTATTATCGGAGATTTATCATGGATTTCTCTAAGATCGCAGTACCACTCACTAGGTTGACCCGGAAGGGTATTGCTTTTTCATGGGGCCCCAAGCAGCAGGCCTCCTTTGAGATGCTTTGCCACAGGTTATGCGAGGCCCCTGTGTTAGCCCTCCCGGAGGGAATGGAGGACTTTGTTGTATACTGTTATGCATTGATTTTAGGGTAGGGAGCGGTGTTGATGCAGAGAGGGCATGTGATAGCGTATGCATCGAGGCAGTTGAAGCCTCATGAGACGAGGTATCCCACCCATGACCTAGAGTTGGGGGCAGTGGTGTTCGCCCTCAAGATTTGGCGCCATTATTTGTATGGGGTTCGGTGTACGATATACACGGACCATAAGAGTCTTAAGTATTTGATGGATCAGCCCAACCTAAATATGCGGCAGAGGAGGTGGTTGGATGTGGTTAAGGATTATGATTGTGAGATTCTGTACCATCCGGGCAAGGCTAATGTGGTAGCCAACGCCCTGAGTCACCGGGTGGAGAGCGCCCCATTGCGAGATGTATGTTTGCGGTTGACCGTGATAACTCCGGTGTTAGACACCATTCGAGGAGCACAGGCTGAGGCAGTGAGGTTAGAAAACCAAAAGAGAGAGCGAGTTATTGGGTTGGTATTGGATTTTGTTACCGATGGTCGGGGGCTTATGACTTTTCAGGGGCGTATATGGGTGCCATTCGTGGGAGGTACGTGTGCCATTTTGATGGAAGAGGCTCATCGGTCGAAATTCTCGATCCATCCTGGGGCCACTAAGATGTATTTGGATTTGAGGAGGGAGTATTGGTGGCCCTGTATGAAGAGAGATGTTGCGTGGTTTGTTGAGAGATGCTTAACCTTCCGTAAGGTTAAGGCCGAACATCATAGACCGCATGGTAAGTTGCAGCCATTGGAGATTCCCGAATGGAAGTGGGAACAGATCACCATGGATTTCATCACCAAATTTCCAAGGACTGCTCGGGGAGTTGATGCAATTTGGGTGATTGTGGACAGGTTGACAAAGAGCGCTCACGTCCTTACCATCAGCGAGAGTTCTTCCGCAGAGAAGTTAGCAGAGATACATGTGAGGGAAGTGGTATCTCGGCATGGGGTGCCGATCTCGACTGTCTCCGACCAGGATGTGCGTTTCACTTCCAGATTCTGGAAGAAATTTCATGAGGAGTTGGGTACTAGGCTGCATTTTAGTACCGCATATCACCCCCAGACATACGGACAGAGTGAGCGGATGATTCAGACACTCGAGGACATGCTCCGAGCATGTGTATTGGATTTCGGGGGAAGTTGGGATACGTATTTGCCTTTGGCCGAGTTTTCTTACAAGAACAGCCATCATTCGAGCATCGGTATGCTACCCTTTGAGCTGTTGTACGGGAGGAGGTGTCGGACCCCTATTTGTTGGGGAGAAGTCGGGCAGCGCGTTATGCGCAACACTGAGATAGTGCTTCAGACGACAGAGAAGATCCAGCAGGTCAGACAAAGGTTACTGACTGCTCAGAGTCGACAGAAGAGTTATGCAGACAGACGCCGATCCGAACATGAGTTCCAGGTCGGTGATTTTGTGCTCCTGAAGGTCTCTCCTTGGAAAGGAGTGATCCGATTCAGGAAGAGGGGAAAGTTGGGACCCCGATATATCAGACCATTTCGGGTAGTCGTGAGGGTAGGCAGGGTAGCCTATCGTTTGAATCTGCCAGCAGAGTTAGGGCAGATTCACGACACTTTCCATGTGTCGCAATGGCGGAAGTGTATAGCCGATGAGTCCGCAATGGTTCCATTAGAGGATATTCAGGTAGATGCGACACTGAATTATGCGGAGAGACCAGTGGCCATCAGAGATCGGAAAATCAAAGTTCTGAGGAACAACGAGGTACCTTTGGTTTCGGTTCAGTGGGAGCATTGGAAGGGGTCCGAGATGACATGGGAACCGGAGCGTGAGATGCGATAGCAGCATCCGAAGTTATTTGCAGAGTGATAATTCGAGGGCGAAATCTAGTTCTAATGGGGGAGAATTGTAACAGCCCGTAATTTCCAGGTATTGATTATTGGCTTATTTTTGGAAATTGTGAGTGGACTCAGCGAGTTGGACCTCGAACTCGTCGAGTAGGATCACGGTATTGGGCACGGGTTCGCGTCCGGACTGGGCGAGTCCACGCTGTGTGATGAAACCCTAATTCCCGGAGTTTGAGACCTATTTAAAGAGCCTTATGGCCGTCATTTGTGCTCACCAATCTATAGAGAGAAACCCTAGAGTGCTTGAGCGTTTTGAGAGAGAAAGGAAGCCATTCTTGACCTTTGTGGTGTTATTTAGCAAGGATAAGGAGGTCATAACCAAGAGGAAGCATAGGAGATTGCTATATTGTGGATTTGAAGCTCAGATCTTCGAACTTGAGGTATTATTTCAGCTCATCTTCTGTTTTATGAAGTATATTTGGATTTAGGTTTCTTGTGGCTTTTATTAGGTTGATTTGATGCCAAATAGTCCCTTTCTAATGTTGAGGCTTTGGATCTGGATCCATAGAGGTCAAGAGAGCCTCACTCATCAAGCTTTATGAAGAGTAATGGAGATTATGACCTTGAGTTGTGGTATTTGGGACAAAATCATCATATATGGTCATATAGATGTTGTATGTACATCGAGATAGTGACTTTACGTGCTAAATAAGCTTGGAAGGACTGGATCTATGAGTTAATGGACCGGATCTGACCTTAGGAGCGAGTTTGAGTCATTGCATGGCATGGACTCGCCGAGTCCGAAGAACAGACTCGGTGAGTAGCATGAATATTGCCCAGCACCACACAGCGA